ACCGTCCGAAGAGGTCTGTGACCTTGATCAGGTCACTAATCTATCGCTGAATCTACTTATGATTTGTAAAATAAGGTAACGTCCACACCTACCCTGTAGGCTGGTTATAAGGAATAAATGAAATAATATCTGTGAGTCCATTAGCATAGAGTAGGCCCTGAATAAAGGCAGTCCTATCTAGTGGGCTCTTCACCATCTTCCCCTAGTAGAGGAGTGCTGCCAGCCTTTGTGATTTAGACTGTTTGAGTTTCATGTGTGATGATAAACCATTATCTTTTGCACAAAGCATCTTTGTGCTTTTTCAATGGACTGTACTAAATGTAGTAAACTGTCTTATGATTTTATGTTATGTTTGGAAAGGCAGAAGATATCTATAAAAGTATAAACTACATGAGAATAAATTTAAAATGTACTACATAACGAACAGGTGATAAATTTATGATTTTTAAATGGAACGGGAGTTTGGTGTGGTCCAATTTTTAAACAATAACAGTTTTGCATAATGAATTCTAATAACACCAGAAAAATCAACAGAGAAAAAATGATTATATGCTAAAATAAAGACTTGATGTAACTACAGTACCTAGCACAGAGGTAAGAGAGAAAAGCATGCTATTTACATAGGGAGAAATATATCGTATTAGCTGTGCAAATGAACCCAAATTCAGTCTACTGTTATAAACATTTTCAACTAATGAGATTAGGAATTTTGAAATACGTCTTGAAAAACAGATGCATTTAAATTTTAGCTTTCTGGAGAGTATCCTGCCCTGACCATAAGAAAGCATGGTCTTTAAGATATCCTTTGACCTGGTAATTTTTTACAAAATAAATTTATTTATTTTTTATGTATCTGTTTTTGGCTGCATTGGGTCTTCGTTGCTGCGTGCAGGCTTTCTCTAGTTGTGGTGAGCGGGGGCTACTCTTCGTTGTGGTGCGCGGGCCTCTCATTGCCGTGGCTTCTCTTGTTGCGGAGCATGGGTTTTAGCCACGTGGACTTCAGTAGTTGTGACACGTGGTCTCAGTATTTGTGACTCGTGGGCTCTAGAGCGCAGGCTCAGTAGTTGTGGCTCCGCGGCATGTGGGATCTTCCCAGGCCAGGGCTCGAACCCGTGTCCCCTGCATTGGCAGGTGGATTCTTAACCACTGCACCACCAGGGAAGTCCCTGATCTGGTAATTTTGGATAAAATACTCAAAAGGAAATGGCTCCAGAGGGGAAAAATAGAATTTATACCAGTATTTATAGTTATATGCATATTATAAACACATTTGTATATTATTTATATATAATATATAATATTTATAAATAAGTACATATAGACATACACACATATATACACGTATACACACACACAAACAGAAGCAATTACATGCCCCTTTTGAGAACTGGCAGAGCAAGCATTAGCAAAATGGAATAAAGTTGTTAGAAATGATAATAAGCCCACACGCTTAATATTTGGAAAGAGCTACATGAAATAAATTCAAAAAGAAAAGCCCTGTGTGGTCTTTGTTTCAGGGATGCAGGGAAGCACAAGGCTGTTGGCTGCTGTCTCAGGGACTGGATATTCTGCAGCAGAATGGATAACCTGGAGGAAATACTGACTAAATAAGGCAGTTTCAGGTGATCAGTGCTATGAAGAAGATTAAGCGCCGTGGGATCGAGAAGAATTCAGGGCAGAGGAGTGATGCTCTTTTGGGGGTGATGGTGTGAGGGGGAGGGTTCTGTGAAGGAGCCAGCCAGGTGAAGGTGGGGCTGGGCAAGGAGCGCTTCCAGGGGTGGGACAGCACTTTGAAGCCTGTCAGTGCCCTTCTGGAATGAGTTGGGCACGTGTGAACCAAGAGCAAGCCAGTATGGCCAAATCGTAGGCAATAATGGTAGGTTTCCTGGATTACAGCAGAGTAGTTAACTTGGGAGTGACCCCAATAGCCAGGCTTTACTTTTTTACGGTTAAAAAATTTTTATTGTTTAGTCGTGGAATTATGGTGGAAGTACAGAAGTATATGAACCAAGCGTATGTTTTAAAGAAGAAAGATAAAGCAAATAGCCGTAGACTCACCACTAGGTTATGAACTAAAATACCTTGAATCCCCTTGTAGCTGTCTGACTGTCCCCCTCCCTTGCTTCCAGTGGTAAACATCGTGTGACTTTTGAGATAATGACTTACTTGCTGTTCTGTAATTTTGTGACCTCTATGTGCAATCCAAACATAGGGTTTAGTGTAGCTTGCTTTGAACTTTATATGAAAGAGCCATACTGTGTGTATTCTTTCATGGCTTGCTTCTTTCTCTCCAAATTGTGAGGTTAACCTGAGTTGATACATACATTTATTGTTATTTTTACTTTATAACGTATGAATATAGTATAATTGAGTCATCTGTTGGTTGTCGTTTGGTATTTGCTTTTCCAGTGTTTGGCTATTGCTGTGGTCAGTTCTGCTATAGAAAGTACATGTCTGTAAGTACACATGTGCAAAAGTTTATCTTGGGAATTTACCTAGAAGGTCAATTGGGAGTTGTAGGGTATCATCAAACTTACAAGAAAATGCCAAAGTACTTAAAAGGGAATGATACCGGTTTTTACCCTCGCTGGCAGTATATGAGAATTTTTGTTGCTCGACATACGCCAGTTCTTGAGGTTGCCGGACTTAATTACATTTTGCCAATCTCATGAGTGTACTGAGGTATGTTGAGGTTTTCTTTTCACTTTTATAATCACTAATGAGTTTTGAGCACCTTTTCATGTGGTTTTGGGCCATTTGGATTTCCTTTACTTCCTTCTGTGAAGGGCTTTTTCAGGCGTTTTGCCCCATTTTTTATTGGCCTTTCTGCCTTACCTCAGTGATTCATAGCTGTTATTTGTGCCTTCGGGGTGTGTGCTTTTCTTCACTCTTTTTATGTCTTTAAAATTTTAATGCAGTCAAATTTTTTAATCTTTCTATATTAGTCTATTTATTGCTTTGTAACAAATCACCCCCACCTCCAGTGGCCTAAACAGCAGCCATTTATTTATTTCAGTTTGGACTCAGCACACTGGTCAGTGTGGTCTCATCTGGACTGCCTCCTGCATGGCGGGAAGCTCTGCTTCTGAGGGTGGGATGTCTGACCGATGGGGCCATAGGTGGGGGGCCTGGGCGACATGTCTTTCATCACCCAGCAGGCTAGCGTGGGCTTGATCACGTGGACGCCAGAGGCTTCCAAGGGAGTGGAGCGTGGGTGTGCAAAGGTTCTAGAGCTAGAGGCTCCGAGTTAGCGCAGTGTCACTTCTACCACATTCTTTGGCCGCAAGACCAGCCCGGGTTCAAGGGGTGGGAAAATAGACGCTACCTTTTACCCGAGGAGCTGCAGAGTCCCACTGAAAAGAGAAGCTCCTACAAAGGAGGGGTGGAGAATTCAGACCGTGCTTGCAATCCATCACATTATACATTATGGTTTTGCTTTTCTTCTCCACTCCAAGGGTAAGAAGTTACAATCCTGTATCACCTTCTAAAAGGTTTCTGGTTTAGCTTTGGAAGAATGAAGTTTCAAAAACTGTGACAGTGGAGGATGTTGATAATGGGGGAAGATATGCCTGTGTCCGGGCAGGGAGTCTAGGGGAAATCTCTGTACCTTGTGCCCAGCTTTGCTGTGAACCTAAAACTACTCCAAAATAGAGTCTGTTAAGAAAAAGTAAAACATGAAACCAGACCATGACAGCAGCTGAAAGAGCTGGTGAGCATGATTAGAAAGTTTAAGAAGTGAGAGGAAGCAGCTTGTCGAGGAGGGCATTGGGGAACCATTGTACTTAATGATTGGAGGTCAAGAGTTGGTTAAAAAAAAAGAAAAGAACATTTTCCAATGTAAAAATAATTTTTTGCTTTCATTCCTTGTCTGTTAGCTATAATACAACGACTAAGAAAGAGAAGATTGCTGCTCCTGCTATCTTACCAACTTATTCAAAACAGCCCTCAGCATTTATACTGTGTGCTTCGCTTTTGTTCATATTTATTTTTTTGCCTGAATACTCTTATCAGAAATTATGGATTGTGTTTTGTTCAACTTTTCAGTTTGCTTGACCTGAAGTTTCACTTTAACACGATCTGTCAGTATTCATTGTAGTGAGCCAGGATCCATACAGGGTGCAGGAGTTGGGAAGCAGCTTCTTTGAAAGTGCTTTAGACCAGAGGCAGAATTGTACCCTGGTGAGGGCATGGGTTTTGGACAGATGGCTCTGGAATAGATCAGACTTTTGCTGATGTAGTACCTGTGTGACTTTGTGCGAGTTATTTAACATCTGGGAGCTTTGGCGTTCCATGGTTAAATAGAGACTCTCAAGAGTATTGAGTAAAGTTAAAAATACACCTATTCTCTAGCATGGTGCATGGCCCATAAAATAACTGTTAGCCTGTTGTAGAAGTTGGGTTTTCCACTATTTTCTATGACGACAATAAAAAGAAAGAAAAATGAGGACCTGTAGGTCTTCAGCAGAATGAATTCTTTCTGCCACTTGAGCGTGGCCTTTGATTTCCGTTCCTGCTGCTGTTTTCTATGAATACTCTTTGAATCCTCTGGATTTCTCTGGCTGGAGTTGAACCATCAGTTAAGGGCATCTGGTTGGCTGACTTTAAGCTTTGAGACCCTTAATATTTGAAACGCTGGCAGCCAGCTGGATCTCATCCAGCCCTGGGAGATAACTATCAAGTGTGTGTGCTCCTAATCATAGACGGAACTTTTGCGTCCGGGAAGTTCTGACCTGAGTGAGTAGAGAAAGGGAAAGTGCTTCCGGGAACAATATATATATTTCTCCCGCACCTGCTCCATCCCAGAGCATTAGCATAGAAGACGAGCCACCAGAGAGTGCCCGGGTGGGATGGTGGGCCCCTTGGCCGAGGAGTTGGGTTGTGTCTCCTCACAGCTCACGTGGAGGAGAGCTCTACAGCTCTGCCATCTGAGGAAGAATCAATTCCTGCTGAGCCTTGACCTGAAACAAGGACCCAAGTAATCACTCCATCTTTCTTTCCAGGTCTTTCGGCAGCCCAGCGGAAGTTTGCTCATTCACTCAGAGACTTCAAATTTGAGTTTATCGGCGATGCAGAGACTGACGATGAACGCTGCATAGGTGCGTAAAGACCGGGTTTTGGTTGGCTTTCCTTTGCTTTGACCATGAAATAATCATTCCTTTCTTCTTACAGATGCTTCGTTACGTGAATTTTCTAACTTTTTGAAGAATCTGGAAGAACAGAGAGAAATTATGGTGAGTGGTGGGGTGTAAAATAACAAGTCCATCTTTAAGTGGGGTGGAAATCTGGGTAGCTGGTTCTGGTGGAAGTTTTGGTGCATTTGTCCATGGATGAATAGTGCACAGTAATGGAAAGATCCCCAGATGAGGTTTGGGGGCCTGGATTTCTAGTTCCCCAGGGGTGCCGACCATCCTGGATAAGTTGCTGGACCTCTAGACCAAGACCCTGCATCTTCATCTGTAAAAGACTGTGTTGAAGTATATCAGTGCTTCCTAGATTTTTGTTAGCCCTGGAGCAGTCGCATTTAAATCGAGTCTCACGCAGAATCTTAATACGTTAAGAAGACAAAAGCAGAACATCTTATGGAGAGGACAGCAGGGCACAGTTGGAGCTTGCCTCAGTCTTCTGTGGATTTCTAGGCTGTGTGGAGAGGAAGAGAGCTCGAACCTGGAAGTCCTTAAAATCCCACTTTGCCTTGAGATACATGATCACAGTAGTAGTGAATAATAGCTCCCCTCTGTTGAGTGCTTTCCATGTGCCGGATGCTACGCTGAGTGCATTGAGTAGATGCTATTTAACATGAATTTTGAGGGTATTGAATAATATTTATCCACCTTTCTGAAAACTTTGTATTTCTCTCCTGATATTCATTCAACAAAGATTTACAGCAGACTCGCCATTGGATTATGACACGCTATCTATTTTCACCAGTTTTTTCAGGTTAAAAAAAAAAAATGACCATCTGATTTTTCTATGTTCTCGAGAATGAGAACTACCTAGAATTATGTGGAAGTGTTCCTGTATGAGGGGGTTCAGATGTGGTGGTAATAATATTGAATATGGCAGCTAAGACAGTTAACCTTTACTCTGTGCCTGGTACTGGTCTAAGCTGTTTCCCTACGTTTAAGTCATTTAATTCTCACATCAGCCTTATGAAATAGACTCTGTGATTGACCCCTAACTGACCAATGAGGAAATAGAGGTGCAGCACCTTGCCCAGGATCGCATGGCAGCTAAGGGGTAGAGCCCGGTCAGGCCACAACCAGACATCCTGGACCACCTGCCAGCGTGGCCAGCTTCCTAGATGTTGCTGCAATCTGGCTGGTGGCTGGTGGGGATTTCTAGCTGGTAGAATTGGAGTAGGAGAAGAAGTAGGAGGAAAGCACTGATTTTTGACTGAAGCATGACAGAGACCTATGGCCTCTAAAAGCGCTAGTGTAATTTGCACTGCACCCTAAATTCTGAGATGATTTGTGCCTGTTGTAAATACCGAAGCGGGCGCGTGAAGGTACTGTGCTCCCACTAGGTTTTTTCTGGCACAGAGTGACATACATAACCCTTATTCATGTGTTCGTATAGTCACAGATCTTTCAAGCTCTTTAGAGCAGTCTAAATGTGAGAGTGGATAACTGCAGTGCCATGAAGCCACCCTTCTATGGCATGAAGTGGGTGCGGACGTGTGGGTGGTAGAAGTGCGCGTTCTTAGTTTATGTTCATAGTATCAACTTTCTGTTCTCAATCCTTGAAATTTAGTTGTATTTTCCTGGGATCCTGAGCATTCAGCAAATATGTATTTGATCTCCTTTTACGTTTCAGTTACCGTTTAGAATCTGAGCACACAGCCGCAAACAAAGCAAAGCCCCTGCCCTCACGGAGGTTACATTTTGGAAAGGGGAGGTGATAAGTGAACAAATGTATAACACATTGTCAAGTAGCAGTAAGTGCTACAAAACGAAATTGAGGGAATTCCATGGTGGTCCAGTGGTTAGGACTCTGGGCTCTCACTGCCGAGGGCTCAAGTTCAATCCCTGATCCAGGAGCTAAGAGCCCACAAGCCGTGTGGCGTGGCCAAAAAAAAAAAAAAAAAAAGAAATTGAGAAGAGCAAGGAGCCAGGGCACCATTACATCTAGAGTGGCGAAGGAAGGAAGGCCTTTCCAGTGGAGAACGATGGAGGCCTCCTGGTATCTGGGGGAAGAGAGTTTCAGGCAGTGTGGTGCTGGAGTTGAGCTCTACAGAAACACAGAGTGATATTCTATAGTTGGCCCTCTGTATCCACGGATTCTGCATCTGCAGATCAAAAATATTTGAAAAAAATTCCAGAAAGTTCCAAAAAGCAAAACTTGAATTTACCACGTGCTGACAACTGTTTACCTAGCATTTACATTGTGTTCACAACTATTTACTTAGTATTTTCATTGTACAGGCATACCTTGTTTTGTGTTTTTTTAGTTTTTTAAAAATTATTTATTTTTGGCTGTCTTGGGTCTTCGTTGCTGCACGCGAGCTTTCTCTGGTTGCGGTGAGCAGGGGGCTACTCTTCGTCGCGGTCCGCGGGCTTCTCATTGCGGTGGCTTCTCTTGTTGCAGAGCATGGGCTCTAGCCACGTGGGCTTCAGTAGTTGTGGCTCGTGGGCTCAGTAATTGTGGCTCTTGGGCTCTAGAGCGCAGGCTCAGTAGTTGTGGCACACGGGCTTAGTTGCTCCGCGCCATGTGGGATCTTCCCGGACCAGGGCTCGAACTCGTGTCCCCTGCATTGGCAGGCGGATTCTTAACCACTGCGCCACCGGGGAAGCCTCCATACCTTGTTTTATTGCACTTCCCTTTATTGTGCTTCGCAGATGCTGTTTTTTTCATATATTGAAGGTTTGTGGCAACCTTGTGTCAAGCCAAGTCTTCAGGCACCATTTTTCCAATAGCATCTGCTCACTTTTTGTCTCTGTCACATTTTGGTAGTTCTTGTTATAGTTCAAACTTTGTCATTATTATTATTATATGTGTTATGGTGGTCTGTGATCAGTGATCTTTAACGGTACTATGGCAAAGAAATCACAACTCACTGAAGGCTCAGCTGATGGTTTGCATTTTTTAGCAATAAAGTATTTTTTTAAATTAAGGTATGTACGTTGTTTTTTAAAGACATAATGCTATTATTGCATACTTAATGAATCACAGCACCGTGAAAACATAACTTGTATATACCGGGAAACCACAGAATACGTGTGACTCGCTTTACTGCGACATTCGCGTTATTGCAGTGATCTGGAATTGAACCTGCAATATCTCTGAGGTCTGTCTGCCTGTATTACATATTGTAAATCATCTAGAGATGATTTAAAGTATATAGGAGGGTGTGTATAGGTTATACGCAAATACCATGCCATTTTATATAAGGGACTTCAGCATGCTTGAATTTTGGTGTCCATGGGGATCCTGGAACAGTCCCTACTGGATGCTGAGGGACGACTGTATTTCCTTTTTTTGTTCCTTGAGATGAGTTGGCTGGAATGTGGTCTTAGCTCCAGGCTGTCTGATAAAGAAAGCATGGTTCTCAGAGCTCTTGTTAACTGACCTATTGATTTAATCTTCAGCTATGATGGGGGTTGATGGGGTCTCTGTCTTAGGCAGAATGAGGATGACAGGGCTGGGTTTCCAGTGCTGGGTAGAAGTAGGAATAGGATGTTGTCTGTATAAGGCCACGAACCTCAGAAAGGAATGGGACAGCATGTTCCAACCCATTTGCGGGAATGGCAGTTCCTGCCAGATAGCAGGAATCTATCCAAAGGCAGAAAGCAGTGGAGGGCAGTTACTACCAACCACAGAATTAACAGGACGCCTAATGCTTTTTTAAAAATTATTAGCTTAACTTTTTTTTTTTTTTTTTCGGTACGCGGGCCTCTCACTGCTGTGGTCTCTCCCATTGCGGAGCACAGGCTCCGGACGCGCAGGCTCAGCGGCCATGGCTCACGGGCCCAGCCGCTCCGCGGCATGTGAGATCCTCCCGGACCGGGGCACAAACCCGTGTCCCCTGCATCGGCAGGCGGACTCCCAACCACCGTGCCACCAGGGAAGCCCTAGTTTAACTTTTTAGTTTGGAAAATTTTGAGCATGCGCAAACAGAAAGGAAAATATAATTAAGCTACATGTGCTCAATATTCGCCTTTGATAACCATTGCCACACAACCAGCCTTGTTTCTCCTATACTCCTCACCCCCCCACCGCCATTGTTTTGACAGAAAGCCCAGTATTACATCGTTTCATCCATAAATACTTCAGTGTATAACTCTCAAAGATAGCTCTCTTTATGAACCAAAATATACTTGTCACACCTAAAAACAAATAATAATAATTCCTTGAGATTACAAAGAATTAGGCCATATTCATTTTTTCCCCTGATATTCATTTACATTTTGTTTCCTCCTCATGCCTGCGTCCCGTAACAGTCGGTTTGAATCTGGATCCAAATACATTGCATTTGACTGATAAGTTTCTAAGTCCCATTTAATCTAGAGGTTTTTCTTCCTCCCTTTTCCCCTTGACAGGAATTCCTGTTACTCTTCCATTCATTTTAAAAGACCTTTAAAATAGCACTCTTCCTGAGTTATCATTGAGTTATAATAATAAAATGAATAATAACGAAAGTAAAAAAAAAAAGGCATTTGACCCATATTGACGTTATTTGGGTGTTTCTGTCTAATCTTGGTAGTCAGTGATCACTTTTTTTTTAAACCATGAAAATTGCGTGGCATCATTGTGGCTACTTTTGGTTCATGAAATGGCTTTGAACACTTCGTAGACAACAAATCTTTGATGATTTCCTCGACACCAGCCTGAAACTTTTTTTTTGTGGCTGCATTGGGTCTTCGTTGCTGTGTGCGGGCTTTCTCTAGTTGCGGCGAGCGGGGGCTTCTCTTTGTTGCGGTGCTCGGGCTTCTCATTGTGGTGGCTTCTCTTTGTTGAGGAGAACAGGCTCTAGGCATGCAGACTTCAGTAGTTGTGGCTCGTGGGCTCAGTAGTTGTGGCTCTCGGGCTCTAGAGCGCAGGCTCAGTAGTTGTGGCACACGGGCTTAGTTGCTCCGTGGCATGTGGGATCTTCCCGGACCAGGGCTCAAACCCGTGTCCCCTGCATTGGCAGGCGGATTCTTAACCACTGCACCACCAGAGAAGTCCCCAGCCTGAAACTTTTGCATAAGAAAAGATAGCTCCCTCAAGAAGTATCCAGTGTGGCCCTGGAGAG